AAAAAAAAAAAAAAAAAAAAAAAAAGAGGGGAGGGGAGGGGGAGAAGGTGAGCGATGGGAGTGGTGGAAGAGTGAAAAATCCTACTTGTGATGGACTCGTCATCATTAAAGCATTTAAAAAAAGAAAAAGAAAAAAAATGCATATTGCACATACAGTGAAAGCTTAAATTCCACCAGGTCCGCCTCATGTCGCTAAAGCGAGAATCCAAAATTTCCCTCTTGGAGGAAGACACGCAGAGGTACAAAAAAAGAAAAAAATCATTTTTGGAGGGGGTGGGAGAACTGTGTGTGCATTAGTGATCTGTGGGTGGAAAGGGGAGAAGGGGGGTGGTAAATAAAGAAAAAAAAATGATGGGGCCACAAGGAGCTGATATTAGGCAGAAGTGGCACTTTGAGGGTTTCGAGGGGAAGTGGAGGGACTGCACAGCACGCAACACGTACACGGGAAGAAATGGTACATCAAATAAGAGATTGTGGCACAAATAAAATCAGGTGGTGGATAATATCTGTTCTTCAGAGATAGCCCAGAGTGGGCGGAGGAGCGAGACAGAAGAGACCGATGCAAGTGTGTTTCTTTTTCTCTTTATGTACAACTAAGGCTTACTGGTTAAATAGTTTTCAGGCTTCCCCGCCCACGATGCTTTTACATGCTGATCTCTCACACACTCACACACACTCACACACACTCACACACACTCACACCTTCCTTTTGCTCTGTAAACTCAGTGGTTCTATCAGGACAGCAGCCACACAATCTAGTGGGTTCAATTCGAGGAGGTGCATGGGGAGGGGAGGGATGGATGAACATGATGGGTGGATGCTGCAGTGGTGAAGGAGCAAAAGGGCGATTAAGAGTCGGGAGAAAAACAATGGGAGAGGGGGGAAAAAAAAAAACCCAAAAAAAAAAACAAAACAGGAGTCTTGCCTCCGATGTCTGTTGCAATTAATATCTAAATGTGCAATTCCATTAGTCACTGCCATGGGGGACTAGGGGGGTGCAGAAGATGGGGCGGGTGGGGTCTGTTCTACTTGGAAAGCTTGCTAATGACTCGAATGAGCGCTCCGTTCTCGTCCTTTAGTCTCTGGTTGTCTGCTTTCAAGTCTGGGAGCATCTGAAAGGTGATAAAGGGAAACAGGAGCGAGAGAGTGAGAGAG